ATCAAGAATTGAAGACCGAGGATCATATGTTGAGAATTGAGTAATTTACTGTGTTTGAATCGTCATTAAGGTTTCTATTGTTATTATTATTTGGGTATGGTGTGGTTGTTTATAGTTGATATATTCAATGTGTTTATGTTTTATTATTATGATTGTTTTAACAACAGCTTACCCCATATGTGTTTTTGTGTTGATATTATCGGCGTTGATCGTATAATGTATTATATGTGAGTAGATGATATTGTAGATAGTGCTGAGACATGATAGATTCAAGAGATGACATAAAACAAATTTGAGATTTTACATTGATAACTAAACAATTGGCTTTGGGTAGTCTAATTTCGTCAATTGATCCTACCTAGTAGGTAAAGGATTTGTTATTTTATTTGTTTTGGATTGTGTTATGCTATTTATTATGTTTGATTTCAATGCAAGTGTTTTGGTTCCGTGTATAATGGTCATAAATAATTAGAAAGAGAAACACTAACTACACATTCTCAAATGAACTCTTTATCATTGATTGAAATTTATTGGGGATCATTACATTTGTGGGTTCTGTTCCCAATTTCTTTAGTTCCACTCCATTTACAATAGTGGTTCTGATAAATTTCAACCTATGATAGTGTGAAAGAAATGTGTTAATAAACACTCTTCTAATTAGGAATAATATATGTTTTTGCTTTATTATATATGCATATAAATGTTGAATCCATTGGTGTAGTCGAAATATGCATTTTTCAGCATCATGGCTAGTTTTCGTGCAAGTGGCTTAGTTTATTGTATCATGTTAATATAATAACCCAAAAGAGAAACTCTAATAACACTTTCGGATACACTCTTTTAATTTGTTGAGGAATAATTAAATTATTTGGGTCCCGCTCCCAATTTTATTAGTTTCACTTATAATTTTGTGATTCTTAATAAATTTCAACCAATGATAATATGTTATGAACACACCTCTAATTATGAACATTATATGTTTGATTTATTCTATACATTCTATAATTAATTCAATTTTTGTAGCTATAGGCAGAATGTTCTTCTCATTTTGTAATCCATCCCTTGGACCAACTTCTATTATCTTAACAGACTTTGGTATATGTCAGAGCCCATTTAAAATGCATCCAAACTCTCTGACGGACGCCAGATGTCAAGCAAAGGAGATCTGAGATTCAGAAAGTGAAAAACAGGTGTGTGTTGCGGATTGGACAAACATTTTTGAAGGTAGAGTAAAACTGAAATTTTTCTAAGTTCGTGCCACTTCTCTACATGCACCAGCCATCTTCAACCTTCTGAAACCTCCTCCTTCTCTCTAAAAACCTTTCCTTCTCTCTACGTAATCTCACCCTTCCTCTTCTCCGATCTTCGTTCAGACACAGTAAAAGCACTTCCGACGTCAAGAGCTTCCAGATAAACCATTCGGTTTGTGAAGCTGAGCTGATAAGTCCTTCTCTTCACTCTGTCGTTCGTTTTCTTAGACATGCAAACCCAGTTCTGGTTTCATGTGTTGATCATCATTCTCAAATGAGTGGTTCTGAGAGTGTTTTGGTTTTACTTGGTTTAGTTTTTGGAGAATTGTTGTGCGTTGAGGGTAGAAGATCTGGTAGTGGTGAACTGTATTCTGCCTCTGTGAACGTCTGGTCACGCTCAGAGGTAAGGGAAACTTATTAATTTAATTTGTATGTTACTTGTATTGCATGAACGTTCGTTGAATTGCTTGAATTAATATGATATATGATGGTTGCTATGTTTGGATTGTATGAAGTATGGAAATTGACTATGATATGAATGTATGAAATTATGAATATATATGTTGATAAATGAGTTGAATATAAATAATTCTAGTATGAAATTTCCCCTATGAAAATGTACGCTCGTCACTGAACGGTCCTTGACCGTTCGGTTTTTCTTGTGAACTTGGTTGGAATCGGATTCTTTCATTTGGGAAGAATCCTAGTTGAGGACGAACGTCTTCGTTTCGAAATACTGTGCATGAGCGTTCGGCCAAGCATAGTTGATTCTTGGTGTTCGGTTATAAACTTAAGTATATATATATATATATATATATATATATATGTATGTATGTATTTGTATATTTTTGTTTATTCTTAAATACTACTCCAATAGTATCTTATTATATTTATCAAGCTTTCTAATATAAGTTTAGTAATGCTCGGTCTTACACCAAGCGCTCTTACTGAGTAGTGTTCGTTCTTACACCAAGCGCTCGTACTGAGTAGTGCTCGGTCTTACACCAAGCTCTCATTTTCTTTCCTATAATCTATCTTGATGAAAATAGCGTTCGTCCAACTTCAATAGAGTTCTCTCTCTACCGTGTTCGGCCATTGACTGACATTCGGTTTTCTTGATGTTAAACTCAAATAAGTTAAGTATTTATAAGCGTTCAGTTTCTTCATGTGAATTCTTCTAAGTATTATTCCTTGGATGTCTTGAAGAGTCTGTATCCATTGGTTTCGGCCTAGAGTATTAGCACTTGGCATGGTCTTTTCGGTGTTCGGTTTGAGCTCATAAGGGTCAGTTCATTTAATTGGCCCACTTTGTAATTAACATTCGTTCCATTCGTTTCTTGCTATATCTATTGCACTCGGTTTCTTTCTCAACCTGATAGTAACCCTCCCGGCCTTAGTCTGTTCTGGAATGGGAGACCTCTCGGTCACACTCCAAGTGTTCGGTCTAGTTAAAGGTTAAATTTTAACGTTCGGTATTTGGTACCCTTAGTGATCTTTGAACGAATGGTTTAATTGGGATGATTATTAATGAAAGATGAAGAGAATATGATATTGATGAAATGTTTTGGATTATGGACGAGCGTTCCGGGGAGGAATGACTCATGAATGAATATTGGAATTGGTGAAGTATGAATGTGGGCATTGCTAAGCTAGCGGTTCATCTTGATGTTTCGTGATTACTCGTCCTCACGTAGAGGAGGGTAAGTCATGTGTGGGAACGGCAGGAGGTCCTAGTCCTTATGGTTAATTTGGACAGATAGGACTAACCTCGGGTGGCAGCTGTTGAGGGTATCCCAGTTACTACATCACCCGAGTGCACGAACGTCGTAGCTACACAGATTTCATACAGTCCGGACAGTCAGTCTAGTATTAGGCTTTGTATGAACGAATAATGAATTATCTTGTTTGGTTGATTGTGAGAAATGTATGTTTATAAATGAATTAAATTACATAAGCTTACCCTGTGTTTCTTGTCTTGTCTATTTTGTACGTTCGGTTGTCCTTCTGTTGCAATGATCATCCATGTGGATGTGAGCAGAAGGAGACGAGCTGTTGGAAGAGGCGATGGAAGAAGAAAACCTGGTCGAGGTAGAAGTTAAGACCGAACCGTAGAACTGTTCGGTCAGTAGTATAGTATGATAGTAAGGTGATCTCTCGATCACCTTTTCCCCTTTTTCTTTTGCATGACCGTTCGGTATGGGCTTTTGTAAACCGTTCGGTCAGAATTGCACACTGTACAGCTTTAAATTTCCTGTCCTTCCTTGTAAGGTCGTTCGGCACACTGTTCGTTCTCTTTTAGTGTAAGACTGATTTGTATTACTATTTAATGTGATTATTCTATTATATAGTTTTAGACTGTATTTTTGGGATGTTACAGTATACAGTTCAAACACTGCATCAAGCCATTATCCAATAAAAAATTTAAAATAAGCTAATTATCAGAAAAATAAATGTAATAAAACAAACTAACAACAAAATGTTTAGAATATATATTGCATAATTGGAAACACAAAGAGGCAGAAGTTAGTAGCTGAAAACTTGAACAAAGAACACTGAAAATAATGCAGCAGCAATTGAATTACCTTATATGCCCAATCTTGCAAATCTTTGTTATGGCAATTTCTTGTAGTACCTCCATAATTTCTATATGTTTATATAGCTGGTAGATTAGATAGAATTATAACTAATTTTGTTATAATCTTGATGTATAAATATCTGTATCTGTATTATGCAGAATCGGGATAATACACAAACTATTTTTGCTTCTATGTTTTTCTTCCTCTGCATTGGAATCTCAATACTTGGTTTGAATGATGATTCTCATTATTTAAGATGGTATCAAAGCTCTTCAATTGAAGAGTTCTGCTGTGCCTTTGATCTTCATTTGATTCTTGCCCCTTCTTGATTTCTTTTCGTTTTTTTTATTTACCAAACCAACTCATGGCTGCCATTGATCAGAATAGCCCTTACTATCTACATCTTGGAGAAAACCCCTCGGCAGCGTTGGTTTCTCCTCTTTTGGATCCAACCAATTACAATTCATGGAGCCGAAGTATGCTCACGGCTTTGAGTGCAAAGAATAAATCAGAACTCGTGGATCAAACCCTGTCTAAACCATCCACGAACGATGCCCTATATCCTACATGGAAAAGATGCAAAAACATGGTAGTCTCATGGCTAGTGCATTCAGTTTCGTATAGTGATTAGAATTTTAAAAGAGAGTTTAATATTTTAACTAATTAATTAAAATTTGGGCATGCAAGTTCAATATTTTAAAGTGTGTACTAAAAATTTAAATTAAGTTTTAATAGTTTGAACTAAGAAATAAAATAACTCGAAACTAATTACATTTGTCATAGTGATGGAGTTTTTCCTATCATAGTCAACCAGTTTGCAAAAATAAGTTCATTTACAATTATGCAATTTCGTTACTTTAAACGTTTTAAATGAAGAGTGACGAGGTAGCTAAAGGAAGAAACATAAAAGAACTTTAACCAATCTCAAAGTTGCTATGTGTTATGTATTTACATAATTGTGTTTACATCTGCTGACACTATATAACAACTTCCATTACTCCATACAAAACTCAACTAATCTTTATTTCTCTGTTCACTTTCTAAATTATCCTTATTTCTCTTCATGAAAGTGTAGTTTGGATTATTACACCAACTTATTCCCACAAATTCACACAAAGTACTTCACAAGCAAACCACAGGAGCCACTCATGGCTAATCTTTACAGATACTACAGTTTTCATTACACAACTATGTCTAAGAACCTTGGATTCATATTTGGACTGTGTATTATTTGCAAATGGATAAACAGAAATTAACATTTGGAATAAACAAAATGCAAGAGACAAAAGTATATGAAATGATTCAACAGGGAAAAATTATGGATGCCTAAAGTTTCCTAAGATGAGCTTTTCGTTGTCTTCTGTGTATAGCTACAATGCATTCTCCAATACTTTTACAATTTTTACAATTTAGTCGTATCTCTGTATTTGTGTCTGTGTCTGTGTTCGTGTCTGTGTCTGTGTTCGTNTATTTGTGTCTGTGTTCGTGTTCGTAGCGAAGAAGTGATGGAATGAAAAAAAAAAAAAGAGGAAACTTAATCAACTTAAAAATCAAGGAAAGGAAAAGAGGTTATGTCTTGATCAAGTTCTCCAAATAAGTTTCCCCTTGGCCATGATTTGCAACCCCATTAAGTCCTCTAGCTTTGGAGCCTTGAATGTTATCAGTGTTATTGAAGGAACCATAATTGAAGTGGTTGTTATGGCTTTTCACATCAATTGGAACAATGTCACTTTCAATGCTTCTACTTTCTAACGAAGGAAGGGAGAAGTCTCTTCCTAACCCCATTTTGTTATTTGCTTCCAATGTCCCATGATTCACTTGGTGTCCATCTTCCATGCAGGTAAAAATTTCTGAAACATTAGTCATATCACAGTGATTGTTTACCAACAAGGAAAAAGGGTCAAATTGGTCAGCCAAAACCATTGCTTGCATGGATGATATGGATGAAGAGGAATCCATGCTCATGCTCATGTTCATGATGTCATGGTCATTAAAGGGCATGATCCCACTCAGAACATCTTTAGACTCTGATGAGTCAGTGCTGTTGTTCACTGAAGTGTTAGTTTTCATCCTTTTCTTCAATGTAGAGTTCCAGAAATTCTTTATTTCATTGTCTTCGACCAGGAGACGTGCTGCAATCTGAGACCACCTATAACAAAATCGAAAAGATTAAGGAAAAGAGACTAAGAAAAAAGCCAAATATTTGTTTCTTCTTGACAGAAACATGTTGCAGTTTATTCATAATTGTAGATCATATACAGACATTTTAAAGTTGATATCGGAAAGAACTTGATGAGAAGGTGAACAGGAAGAGACTACCTGTTACCAAAAATGGAATGCAAATGAAAGATGAGGAGTTGTTCCTGGGATGAGAATGCACCACGTTTGAGGTCAGGTCTCAAGTAATTAATCCAACGAAGACGACAACTTTTGCCACATCGTTGGAGACCTGCGTTCCTTGCAATGTCACTCCAACACCCTTGTCCAGTTTGTGAGCATGTACCTTATCAGCTTTCTCTTCATCAGGTGAACCACACCCTTTTCTCAACTTAATAATGTCCTTCATTCTGTCCTTGTTGGCCATCAGATCAGGTTTCCTAATTGCCTATGCTCACTCAACAATACTTGTGGAATGATCAAAGTCTTATATGCAATGTGTGTGTGTTTTCTTGTTCTTTTGAGTGTGATATGATAGAGGCCATATAGGTGAATGATTTCATGAGGACAGATAAAAGGCTTCATAGGGTGGGGAAACATGTGATGATGAGAGTGATGTTTGGAGTTTGCTTAAAATATATATGCATTGAGAGAGAGAGAAGAGGGATTGTGTTTGTTGTTGATGGGTAAGTGGAAAACGGATGGAGGGGGACCTCCTAACACAAAAGAGTGATCAAAGAAAAAAAGAGAGGGATTATATGTTTTACTTCATCTCAAGGTAAATCATCACTATGAGTTCAATTTTTTTTGCTTCCACTTCACATAATACTCTTTCTCTCTCTGGTTTTAAACTCAGATTCACGTGTTTTAGACCAGATGCAATGATGACTATGCTACTTTTGTGGGATTTAATTTAATACCATAATGTTGCACGCTTGAGGTTTGTTTTCTTAATTTCATGTTGTTTTATGATTGTGTGTAGCTTACATCTGTGCATGAATTCAAAAGGGCTAACCTGTTTTGGCATTTCTTAAGCAATTATGTGCACCTCCAACCACGCAAACCCATTTTACATTTGTATTTCTCTTTTGTAATATGCTTCTTGTGTGATCCATAGCATGCATCAGAAAATGTTGGCAAGAAGTTTTGCTGTAAGAGTTCACTGATAAATGATGAAACACACCCATCATTTTCTTCCTAGCTGTCAAGGTATATATATATATATCTATATAGCTCTAGGTGATTCCCTTTCCTTTACCTACATTTTCCACAGAAAAGTTCATGAATCATAAAAAACTGTCATAAATCTGAGTCATTGTCCAATCCAAAACCAAAGAGAAACACACATTGGAATTCTGTTAGTTCCAAGGGCAATATTGTTATTCACACACTACGATCTCTGTTGTGACAGTGACTCCCAGAATTTTCTGAGAAAAAGTGAAGCATAATCTCTGAAGCTACTCAAATAGTTCAAAGACATCATTTTCTGGCATCAACAGCTGTTATGGTATGAAGATGGCCACGTTAGAAACAAAACCAAAACTGAAAAGAAAGTGCTCATGCCTTATGAGGGTGTTCCAAGCAACATTCTACTTTGTTACAAAGAAAAGAAAAAACAACTCATACCAGTATTCTATTTCACACCTTATACAGCATTACAAGGTTATGGATATTTTCAGGAGAGAATTCTCTAGATAAAACTTGAGTTCAGTTCACATAAAAAAATTAACATAATTTTCAATTCATGTAATGAATTTATAGATCTTAGATTTTATATGATATTTACTTTTTTTTATTTTTATTTAACTAAGACTTAAACTCATCTTTCATAGTAAAAAAGAATGTTCTACGTCAAAAAAAATGTTTTAAAAAATGTCCATGATATTTTAACAACTTATTTTAACAACAGAGTGATACTATTTCATTGGTCCGTATATTTGAAACAGACCAATCACAAATTATTATAAGTTGTTATAAAAAAGCTATTGAAAAAAATTGTTCAAGAAAACATTTTCCTTTACAAAACTAAGCAGGTGAGAAAAATGGCAGTACTTTAACACAAATCATGGTCTAAAAGGTGAAGTGCTCAAAATAGAATACATGACATAGAAGGTTGAGGCTTTACTAATTTAACAGAAAAATGTGTAGGTACAGAATCTATTTGTTCTTTTTCTTTTTTACTCTGTCTATTTCAGCTTTTGTCTGTAAGTTTATGGATTCAATCATCACAAAGGACATTTGAGAATGAAGTGTGCATAAAGAACTTCATCACAGCCATCCAAATTCCAAACATGTTTAAATTCCAATCTCTTTTTCTAGTAAAAAAATTATATGGGACCAGTGAGTGCATTTGGTAGCACAAACCCCTGAAGAAAAAATGTTAATACATAAATATGTATATTATTGTGCTATATTAGAAGTATCAAGAATCAAACACATTACACTGCAGCTTTTGAAAAAAAAATTAATGATTTTACGTGCTGCTCTTGAGGATCAACAGGACCACCAGTTTGATGAATTTTGTTGCAAACATTGGGGATGGATTCCACTATAGTAAGTCGACTAGAATTTTGTTTAGTTTACCAAAGTTTTTTCTTTAATTTTATTTGTTTAAATTTGTGTGTGTGTGTGTATAATTAAAAACATATTTTAATTTGGTTAAATGTTTTTTAAAGTTTAATTGATTAATTAATGTTTTTATTTGGATAAATTAAAGTGATTATTACTTTTACATATAGAATTATTTTATTTAATAAATATTATAATTAATTTATAAGGTTTAATGATTTAAATCTCATATTTTTTATTTATTCCTTTACGCACTAGAAGAATGACCAATTGAAAATATTAGCCCGGACCATCAAATTTTGGTAAAGTAACGTATTCATACCCACTCTGCCATGTTACAAAAACACTAATTCCTCAAAAAACTTGCTATTCGATTGGTAAAGAAAAAAAAAATAAAAACTATACTATTTGGATGAAGAAAAAAATAAAACTAAAAATAAATATAATTATTTATTTGATTAAAAAATTAAAATTAAAATTAAAAGAGTATAGCACAAAGTTGAGATTTTGTATTGAGAGGTTGAATACTTTAATTTTTGCGGGACATCTAATAATGTTGAGGGTGTTGCTCCCTCCACCACCACACCTTTCTTTCTCCACCTCCCCTTTACTATTTTGCCTTTAAATAAAATTTATTTTTAGGGTAATTTTTTAATTTTACCTATTCACAACCTATTCCACTAATAACTATTTTAGTTCCTCCTACATGAGTAAATTATATTTTTCTTTTATTTTACATTATTTTCTTCATCTCTTTCTTTGCGCGGTGAAATATACAGTTGTAAAGGTTGGGGTAGTGAAAGATTATCAAGTAGTCTCCCTCTCGTGGTGCAGTGTCGCTCTCGTGATGCAGTGTCGCTCTCGTGGCAGTGTGTGAGTGTGCATTGTGTGTTGCTTCCTTAGGGTGTGGTTTTTCGAATAAACCTTCAAATAAAACCCTAAAATAAAAAACGTACTTTAACGGTGACATCCTTCAACGGATGTCAACATCGTTAGGAAAAACGGTGTCAACATCCGTTTAAGAAAAACGAATGTCAAACATCCGTTCTTTCCATAAAGGATGTTGACATCAATTATTTCCTTAAACGGACTCCGAGTTACGTTTTAATTTTAGGATTATATTTTATTTAGTTTATTCTTTATTTTGGAAATATTTTTCTATTTAATTTAAATGTTTTGATTTTATTTAATATATTTTTAATGTATTTTAATAATGTAAGGAACATGAAGAGACAGAAATCGTATGAGGAGAATTGAAACGGAGAAGACAAATGGAGTTGTAAAGTAAAACCAGACAAATTGTTAAACGAACTTAGAGTGAAAGATTGAGTGCAGGAGTAAAGTAGGAGAACTAGGTTTGGAATAAAATTAATAATAAAATAAAAAATTTAATTTGAGGATATAATTGGCATTAAAAAAAATTGGGGAGGTGGAGGAGAAAGGTGTGGTGGTGGAGGAGCAACACCCTCAATGTTGAAAGAGCCCGTAGAGGCATGATTGGGCTGACACTATGATGGCTTTTGGTGCTAATTCTTGCACGACATACTTTTTTCTTCCTACACCTCCGTAGATTAATCAAAAGGACTATTTTATCCCTATCTTCTTCCTACTATCTTTTTCGTCTCCATGTGCATCTTTTTCCCCCTTCTTCATCAACATCATTCACCTCTCATATCTTCTTCTCCTCCATGTGCATCATTTCTTTCCATTCTCTTCACTAACATCTTTCACCTCCTATAGGGAACAAAATTAGATACAGCACAAACACCACTACACATTTATAACTTATGTTGCACATTGTTGGAAAACACACTATTTTTCACAAAATCATCTTACAAGTAGAGAAATAATAACAGCGCAATCAAGTATTTAATCTAAATTTCCCCACTCTACTACAAAAGTACAAGAAATGTCAAATAAGCTTAAAGTGTCCTTGACTTAGAGCAAGAAATATAATGGACCTTAAATCCATTATATAGCCACTACCACTCCTTCTAGGACATATCCTAGTTATATGCTACTTACAAGATGTGTTTTCATCAACCCAACACACACAAAAACCACAAAAACATTAAGCCTTTTACGTTTTTCATCCTCTCCACCTATTCACTATCGGTCATGCTTCACCCTCATTGTGATAAGTTAAATTTATCACGAAGAGAGAATGGAAAATTGTCGAAGATGGAAGCATTGAGGAGTCCTGCGTGTTTTTTGGATAGTGAGAAATGAAGGGTAACTATGCTGGAGATGCATAAGCTTTAATCCAAGTGTTCGGTCTCGCTAAAGGTTAAAGTTTTACGTTCGGTATTTTGTATCTTAAGTGATCTTAGTTAAAATTGAAGTTTAGAAAATGGAAGATGATGGAATATGATGTATATGAAATGTATTTGATTTTGAACGAGTATTCCGGGGAGGAATATCTCATTGAATGGATATTGGAATTTGGTAAAGTATGAATGTGGGCATGCTAAGCTGGTGGTTCATCCTGATGTTCTGTGATTACTCGTTCTCACGTAGAGAAGGGTAACTCATGTGTGGGAACGGGAGGAGGTCCTAGTCCTTATGGTTAATTTGGACAGATAGGACTAACCTCGGGTGGCAGCTGTTGAGGGTATCCCAGTTACTACATCACCCGAGTGCACGAACGTCGTAGCTACACAGATTTCATACAGTCCGGACAGTCAGTCTAGTATTAGGCTTTGTATGAACGAATAATGAATTATCTTGTTTGGTTGATTGTGAGAAATGTATGTTTATAAATGAATTAAATTACATAAGCTTACCCTGTGTTTCTTGTCTTGTCTATTTTGTACGTTCGGTTGTCCTTCTGTTGCAATGATCATCCATGTGGATGTGAGCAGAAGGAGACGAGCTGTTGGAAGAGGCGATGGAAGAAGAAAACCTGGTCGAGGTAGAAGTTAAGACCGAACCGTAGAACTGTTCGGTCAGTAGTATAGTATGATAGTAAGGTGATCTCTCGATCACCTTTTCCCCTTTTTCTTTTGCATGACCGTTCGGTATGGGCTTTTGTAAACC